TAGTAGTATAGTAGTAGTCGTCGTCGTAGTAGTAGTAGTATTGAGTAGGAGTAGTAGTAGTAGTAGTCAAAGTAGTCGTCGTCGTCGTCGTCGTCGTCGTTGTCGTAGTAGTAGTCGTAGTAGTCGTAGTAGTCGTTGTAGTCGTCGTCGTAGTAGTCGTCGTCGTAGTAGCAGTAGCAGTAGCAGTAGCAGTAGCAGTAGTAGTTGTTGTTGTAGTAGTAGTAGTAGCAGCAGCAGCAGTAGTAGTGGCAATAGTAGTAGCAGTAGTAGGAGTAATAGAAGTATTAGTAGTAGCAGTTAGTAGTAGTAGTAGTAGTAGTAGTGGTAGTGGTAGTGGTAGTGGTAGTGGTAGTGGTAGTGGTAGTAGTAGTAGTAGTAGTAGAAGTAGTAGTAGTAGTAGTAGTGGTAGTGGTAGTGGTAGTGGTAGTGGTAGTGGTAGTTGTAGTAGTAGTAGTAGAAGTAGAAGTAGAAGTAGTAGTAGAAGTAGTAGGAGTAGCAGTAGTAGTAGGAGCAGCAGTAGCAGCAGTAGCAGTAGCAGTAGCAGTAGCAGCAGCAGCAGTAGGAGGAGGCGGAGAAGTAGTAGTAGTAGTAGTAGTAGTAGTAAAAAAAGTAGTGGTAGTAATAAAAGTAGTAGTAGTAGTAGTAGTAGTAATAAAAGTAGTAGTAGTAATAAAAGTAGTAGTAGTAATAAAAGTAGTAGTAGTAATAAAAGTAGTAGTAGTAATAAAAGTAGTAGTAGTAGTAATAAAAGTAGTAGTAGTAATAAAAGTAGTAGTAGTAATAAAAGTAGTAGTAGTAATAAAAGTAGTAGTAGTAATAAAAGTAGTAGTAGTAATAAAAGTAGTAGTAGTAGTAGTAGTAGTAGTGGTGGTAGTAGTAGTAGTACTAGTACTAGTACTAGTACTAGTAGTAGTAGTAGTAGTAGTAGTAGTAGTAGTAGTGGTAGTAGTGGTAGTAGTGGTAGTAGTGGTAGTAGTGGTAGTAGTGGTAGTAGTGGTAGTAGTGGTGGGAGTCGTAGTAGTAGTAGTAGCAGTAGTAGTAGTAGTAGTAGTAGTAGTAGTGGTAGTAGTAGTAGTAGTAGGAGTAGTAGTAGTAGTAGTGGTAGTAGTGGTAGTAGTGGTAGTAGTGGTAGTAGTGGTAGTAGTGGTAGTAGTGGTGGTAGTAGTAGTAGCAGTAGTAGTAGTAGTCGTAGTGGGAGTCGTAGTAGTAGTAGTAGTGGTGGTGGTGGTGGTGGTAGTAGTAGTAGTAGTAGTATAGTAGTAGTATAGTAGTAGTATAGTAGTAGTATAGTAGTAGTCGTCGTCGTAGTAGTAGTAGTATTGAGTAGGAGTAGTAGTAGTAGTATTGAGTAGGAGTAGTAGTAGTAGTAGTCGTAGTAGTCGTCGTCGTCGTCGTCGTTGTCGTAGTAGTAGTCGTAGTAGTCGTAGTAGTCGTAGTAGTCGTAGTAGTCGTTGTAGTCGTCGTCGTAGTAGTCGTCGTCGTAGTAGCAGTAGCAGTAGCAGTAGCAGTAGCAGTAGTAGTTGTTGTAGTAGTAGTAGTAGCAGCAGCAGCAGTAGTAGTGGCAATAGTAGTAGCAGTAGTAGGAGTAATAGAAGTATTAGTAGTAGCAGTTAGTAGTAGTAGTAGTAGTAGTAGTGGTAGTGGTAGTGGTAGTGGTAGTACTAGTAGTAGTAGTAGTAGTAGTAGTAGAAGTAGTAGTAGTAGGAGGAGGAGGAGTAGTAGTATAGTAGTGGTTGGAGGAGCTGGTGGAAGAGGAGCTGGTGGAAGAGGAGCTGGAAGTGGATGAGGAGCTGGAAGTGCCATGGCAACAAATTTGCACCACTTAAGGGGGTATCGCACTTCAAGGCTCCCTATCGCTCCCCACAGGAAATCACACATTTTTGAAAGTGACGGCGGCCAAATACTACATCTCTACATACCATCTTTTGACCCTTGCTCATAACGACTTGGAAAACAAAAACACAAGTTATTGGGCATTCATCATATCGAACAACTTCCCTGAAACTTCACCAAGCATCCGCTTTTCACCACGGGCGTAAAAGCCGCACCATTCGGACTGCTCCCAGCAAGGAGCGCCGGCACTGTCGACATCATCGGACAGGTCAAGCCTTCGCTACAATCAATGCAATTAGCGGCAAGCCGATCTGGAGAATTGAGATCGGAGACATCGATGGAGCCAGCCTGGCAACCACATCCTCAGGACCCCCAGGTTCGGTGTGACACCGCGATCCAACAACGGCACGGCCCCAGTTCCGTGATCTTGAAGTTTCAGCTCCATGCTTTGGCTATGTTTGGCTTGAGATGTTGGGATATTTTGGGTGACCTGGCAGACCTGGGGTCCACAACCGGAAAGCCAACAACTCGTGATAGAAATGCAA